GACATTCTGGAACAAAAATGTAATATAAACATGATTAATTTTTATTTTTGTTTGAAATGTATGTTCAATTCGGTTATCAGTCGAAAATATACTACAAAGGTTTGTGTCTAGCATATTTTCCGTGAGTTTGAGTTTGGACTGCCAGATTTATTCCTAATATCTGTATAAAAATCACTACATAAAATTACAGGATAAGTATCACTTAGTTCATCAAACATGTCAAATACATACTGCATCAAACGTTTATATTCCTCATGATAGTGGTTTGTTGAAAGAAGGATGCATCCTATAATAAACAATTGGTTCGATCTGTAGGTAATTTGAATAACCATTATTTTTTCTTTCGTTGTCTTAAGATCTTGTGCAGAAAAGTTACTGTTATTTCGAATCAGAAATGCAGTCCTCCCTCTAGTGATGTTGTTTTTTGTTGTTCCCGGTGTTGCAAACTTGTAATATTATCAGCATTGATGCATGTAAACATGATAAACAGTTTTTCGGTAGCCAATGATTCGATATAAAAACATCTGCATTTTCTTTTAAAATCAGATAGCTCTGATAGAAAGATGAAAACGCCATGAACATTCCAGCAAGACAGAATCATGCGGATAATCATGAAAAGTGTAACTGTCAATATGGATCGTCTGTGTTCTAGGGTCAGGTTCAGTGTTTGTCTTTTTGCGGATTATCCATCCTCTTGCAGAAATAGTTTCTGGCCAGAATTTTGGGTCCTGTGTTTTTTCGTTGTCATCTTCATCAATACTTACAAGAATTACAAATGTTCGAAATCTTTCTGAATGATGTGCCAGAAGAAATATGCCCGACACTTAAACCTATATATTTACATCCACTGAATTTTGCCTCCTTTATTTCTTAAGAAAACCCATTGCCGTAATCAGTGCATGAACTACACTAGGCACGTCACCTGTACAGATTTCTTGATTAGTGTCTGTCTCATCAATGAAATGAACAAAGACGTTTGCATCATTGATGCAATAATTGATCTTTTTAATCCTACATTAAATGACTATCTAAATAGATATAAATCTTAATAATAAAATGTCTTTCTTTCGTTGTTAATATGGGATGAATGTCGCAGCTATTGCAGAAAAAATTTACATTACTTGCTTACGCGGGTTATGGTTTTTTTTCTGCAACAGCTGCGACATTCATTCCCGTACTAACAACCAAAGAAAGCATTTTATTGTTTAGATTTCTTCACACCATTCACGAATATCTTAGGGCCTCCTTAAACGTTGTTCCTTGTGCCTTAATGTAAGTGTGGGGTTTCATTTTGTGTTCAAAACTAAGTTTCTTTATATATTTATTACAACATAAGCCTCTCCCTGACTGAACATTTTCTATAGTAAAACTTCAACAAAAAATTGTGACTATCTTCTCTCCCTTTTTAACAAAATCGAAATGGGGGGTTGAGGTTGCAAACCCCGTAACCACCCTCGAATTCCGCGTCTTACAATCATATCCTGTGTATAACCAGTTCTATGTGAGCAATTATATCTCACACTACAAAAACAAGGAATGAATTATTCACTTTTAAAGACTTTTAAAGACACAAATTTACACATAGGACTTGAACAATGATGTAAGCGTCAGGAATTTACGACTTTTTTCAAGGGTTAGGGTGTTTTATCGACATCTGTATATTACCGGTAAGCAGAAGAGAACTACTTCTTTCTTGTTGACATTTTGAGTAAAGTAGGACGGACAAATATTTAAAGTTGATGTTAAATCTGTTGTCAATGATGACAAGTATAAAGATAAAAATTTAAAGTTTTTATAAATAGAGACTATGAATTGAATTTTGCGTGTGTATTTAAGAAATGAATTTAATGTTTGAAGATTCATGAGGTTATGCGCTAGCGTTAGCACTATATGATGATTTGCCGGCGTGAAGCGTCAATTTTCATATACCTCATGAACCTTCAAAAATTAAAGTCATTTCTTATATTTACATTATATATTTACGCTCACGGAAAAATAAACTGCATCTCATTTTGTACAGAATTTATTTGAAATGTAAATATTAAGTATTTAAGATTCAATTATCTCGTATGTTACATTCGTGAAAAATAATTAGGTAATTAAACGTATCAACCTTAGTAAAGGTCAAGTTTGATTTCTATTAATGCAGTTACATGTAATGTAGGACACTGTAGGGCTATTATATAGATGCCTCCACCATCCTCTTGGGAGAGTTTTGTAATATTTTTTAATACAAGCAAAGTACACATATATCTACGTACAGGTGCTCTTTTATTTAACTTCCCAATTTTTTGATCTCTAAAGTCATGATTTGGCGCCTGCGCAGTACCATTTACGTTATCTCTACAGAGCTTTATATATACTCTATATATAATAATCGAAAATCAAACCTCGCCTTAACCAAGGTAAGTTTCCTAATTATTTGAATCGAGACAGAGAAAAACCATCTTTGACTCCACCTCTATTGTTTCAGTATTACCTTGTTTTGTTAGTTATTGAGTTCTAATTGCTTATGAAATGGAATACAGTTCTATATCTTCACCTTTTTATTGATTAAACTTCAGCAGACAACTTATTGCGAAGTACGTTATCTTCAAACACTATAAAATATAGACAATTTGATTTATAAATGATATGTACTCTATTCTACTTCTGAGATAAAATCGATAAAACAAATTTACCAAGAGGACAGTCCGATCTTATTTTCTCCATACTAACAAACAGGTAAAAGGGATACATTTCTATCAACAAACATAAAAATGAGACGTTTTAATTTAAAACTTGCTAAAATCCGTTATATTTTAAATACTTGGTTTATTTCAAACCAAAGCAAAAATTCTTTCATCCGAATAAGACGGGAATTTTGTCAAGTCGCAAAGTTATTGGACATTTCATTTTTGGTATCAATACGATTAAATCGGTCATTATATGGTACAAAATTGTGTCAAAGTAAAGAGACAAGAACAATAAATGCTTTCGTTTTATCGTAGAAATATAGAAATACGATCTCAGAGCCAGTATCAATGATAATAACTACAGACAAAATTTAAAAACAACAGGATTTTATATTTTTCCTACAAAAAGGAAATCACTTTTCGAACCGTCCCGGTGATGATACTGGTACTATAATTTGATAATATAAAAGCTGAAGTCATCACGTTTATCATAAAATTCTGTTGTTTGGTTACAAGTTAATTCTTTTCAGGCACAAAACCAAAATATGAAACATACGTGTAAGATTCTGTGGTATTTTAAATTATTATTGATTTTATCATTATTTAGAAAGAAATTCTTATTTTCCCGAACAAATGTTTAAATGTGAGAGAAGATGACTTATTCTTATAAACAAATATTGTTTTCTTTGCCCCCTCACCCCGCAAGATAATTTTGTTAACCAAAGTGAAATAAATCTCTCTGATTAATAGTTTCAGAATTAAGAAATTATATATATGAAGAGTCTTGGTCCCCATTTTGACAGAATACATAATGAATATTGTGCTTTATTATCTGTTCTCTTTCATACATCATTGTTCATTATACACATAGGTTTTTTAAAATAAATTTTTAGGTTTTCTTAAATGTTTTCCTATTGCTTAACAGTAACACACATTGGTAAAAAAAAAGAATGAAATGATCTGTACGTAAGCCCTTAAAATACCTGTTGCAGAAAAATTTTCATAAAATTAACATCAGCATTTTGTTTATTTTCAATCATGTATGTTCTAATCTAAATCTATGATAAGAAGAACTTTAACCTTAAACATTTTATTGTTGTTTTAATTTATTTCAACTCATTGTGATTTTTTTCAGCATATGAGGTCCACTTCATGGAACTATTAGCATTTATCCCTCAGTGTAAAGTACATCAATCCTCTCAGTGTCAGGAGGACACAGAATACTACTGTAATACGTGTAAAAGTGATCTGTGTCTTCTGTGTAAAGAGAGACATGTTGTTGATCTAGATACCATATACCACGATGTTGTGATTTACCGTGAGAGGAATGGCTATATTACAAAAGAAGAGATATGTCAAAGACATCCACACAGATTCTATGAAATGTTCTGTCAATCATGTAAACTTTCTATCTGTTTCGAATGTACAGAGCATAAAAAACACAGAGTACAGGACCTTAGAGCAGCATATAAGATAAACAGACAACAACAAAGAGAAATCATTCAGGACATCAGAAGTGAAATTCTATTTAACAACTGCTTTCTTCTCGCAGAAATCAAAGCTGATATAAAAACATTTCGCCAAAAAATATGCATTTTTCAATTAAAGATGTCAGCAAAAGCCAAAAAACTAGAATACCTTATAAATCATTATATGGTCGGATGTATAAGGTACATGAGACAAAGAAATCATCAAATTAGAAAAATACACAGAAAAGTTGCCGATTTAGAATCATATAAAAACATATATAAACAATCATTAAACAGACCGGCAAGCTTCCTTTTATTCGTACAAAAATGCCATGTTCCTACGACAAACGACACTCTAACAAAACTTCCTCTTTTCAGACTTGAGGAATACTACATGGATATAGAGGATGTGATGTCTATAATGAGTGAAATGAAAATCATTAAAAAGGGGAAAAGACAAATAGAAAATAAATATCTTTTAGAAAGAATGTCTCCCGTTTTGCATAGATTTTTCGAAGTGTCAGGAGTTGATTCTGTAAGGCATATTTCCTATGCGACATCAAACCGGTTCTGGATCAGTGATTGGTATAACAATATAACTTTGACAGACATACAAGGTGATTTATTATATCAACTAACAGAAATAAAACAATTTAGATATAAAGGCACACACACCGTAAATCGTACAGGAGATCTAATTTATATCGACAGGGATCATAACATTAACATGTTGTCTATAGATAACAGAACAGAGTTTACAATGATAACAAAAACAAGACCATGGGAACCATGGTGCGTCTTCTTCTCCCATTCCAGTGGGAATCTTTTAGTCGGTGAGTATAATACTGCAACAAGGATGGGCAAGGTAACACAGTATAACGTTACACGACAACAGATACAAACGATACAAAGCAACAACAAAGGTCAGGGACTGTACAAGACGCCTATGTACATAACGGAGAATCGCAATGGAGATGTTATTGTGTCTGACTTTTGGCGCTATGCTGTTGTGGTGACAGATTGTGAAGGGCGATACCGCTTCTCCTACAGAGGAGATACATCAGAATCACGACTAAATCCACGTGGAATCTGTACTGACGCGCTGTCACACATCCTGGTGTGTGATGAAGACACACACTCGGTACATATGATTGACAAAGATGGATATTTCCTTTTAAGGATACTTACTCAAAAACAAGGGATATACAAACCAGCAGGCCTGTGTTATGATGAAAAAGCCCACCTTCTCTTGGTAGGATCACGATGGAAAAACTGCGTATATGTATACAGATACATAAAAAGGAAGAACAAACTCAAATATTTATATCCCCCGCTTGAAATGCGGGAGGATATATTGTAATTGGTATATCATTCCGTCTTTCCGTCTGTCTGTCCGTCCATCCATCTGTTACACTTTGGGTTACCCATCTCTTATCCTCATCTCCTCTCATACTACAGAATGAAATTTAATGAGACTTTCACAGAATATTTATTATATAGTTTTGCACCTCTTATTTACTTTTTGATCAGACAGATGTTTTGGGTTTTCCAGAACAAAACATTGACACTGTACTTTAATACTGAAGGGCACCCATCTTTTATCTGCAGCTCCTCCTATACCACTAAATAAAATTTAATATTTTCTTTTCACAGGTTATTTATTATCCCGCTTCAGACAAATTTGTCGATTACTGATTGGATCAAAGCTAATCACATGACGCCCTGAAATTTTCCGTATTACGTCTCCGTCAAGGCGTAATATGAAAATCGGGCACGCGATTCCGTTCGAAACGTTGTTATTGTAAATAAAAATGGCGGCTAAGAAACGGTTTACGTAGGTAGTTTACATGCATGTAGTTAAATTTCTTGTTACCGTAACGATATTTTATGTTGATTGTTATTGGATTAAAACATACTATTTTCATAATATGCACAAATACTTTTTTTATATCGAAAAAGGTCTTCAGCGGGATAAATTCGTAACACAGTCGGTTAGTGACCTAATACGGATTCATACAGGGTGTGAAATGGAAATCCGTATTGGGACTCGACTTCGCCTCGCCCAATACGGATTTCCATTTCACACCCTGTATGAATCCGTATTAGGTCACCAACTGACTGTGTAACTAATAATTACATAATGCCACTTGTATCTTTTATTTTACTTTTTGATCTGACGCATATCTCAGATCTCCAAGAGCAAAACAGGGACTTAGTCATGAGAAATCATATTGGAGGCAGGGGTATCATTTAGTGAGCTTATTGCTCAAAGTGCCTCTTGTTAAACAATGGTATTGTGGACAAATAAACAAAAATGAAAAACGAAAATAAACACTTACTTATACACAGACCCAAGACCTACATAAATTGTCCACCTATCAGAGTCTTGAAACGTACAAATATAAGCATATATATTATCGTAGTGTCTGTTTTCTCCCACTACGTGCCTGTACTCATTAGTACTAAAATATCATGATAGCTGCGTTCATAGAAGGACTTTGAACTCACCCTCTTCCTCTGTGATATCTAATCCTTTCTTACATTCTCACAGGTTACATTCTCACAGGGCAAACTACCACATATATACACATGTATAATGCGCTCTTACTCATATCTTTGAAATGTTATACAACAGGAATAAATTTTTATAATTTTATGAAATTATCTGAAACATTTACACAAATTTTACAAAGAACGATAACTCTTCACAGTAAGATGTTTTACATTTAGACAAAGCTAAATTTCTGTCAAATTAGCAACTTAAAGCTTTTTCACAGTAATAAAACATTATTAACTTAAAATAAATATAAAGCATCCCTTTTTCATCAAGGTTTTGCATAATCACTTCTTCTCAGAAGGTTTCAATACTTTAAACGTAACGTCACAATTGCACCAAAAAAGTTCTGGTATTTTCGAAAATTTGAAGACGACGTGGTTGGATCCAGGCCCCTAGGAACATGAAACATCTTAATCTTAAGTCAAACTCTTTCAGTTGTTCTAACATCTAGAAATCAAATATAACAATGTATTATTGTAATTAACACAATACGTGTATCAATCAAAAGAAGGATATGGAGATAACGAACAGTATTCAATATCAAAGTCCATAAAACAATAATTATTAAAAAAATAGGAGCAGACAACAGGGACCTCCGAAACAACACAGGTGGGATCAGGTGCCATGGAGGAGTGAGCATCCCCTGCCGACCGGTCACACCCGTCATGTGCTCCTTGTCATGATTATGAAATAACGGAAAAGTCCCTTGTCAATTTAGTGTATGAATAGTGGTCTAACAATTAGTATGAAAACGTCAGTCAGGATTTGATTCAATGATAAATTGTATTTGCTGACAAGGTCATTGTATCGACCATGGAACTTACGGCATCATGACTTTAAACGAGACAGCTGATATTCTTGTTTCATCATCTTGTTTGTCAATAATTCAGTTTAAGTTGTTGATATTTAAAGCATGTTCTTGCGTATTGAATCAACTGAGATATATACACTCCGTAAGCAACTGAGGAAGGTACAGTATATTGCTGCATAAGTAAGGGAAGTATTTATCAAGTGTTTTGGTATCTTAAGAATTCGATCTGTATGGTTAAAGCATTCATACCTGTTTTACAGGTACTGTTGAACATTATATATTCTGCGACATTTTATTTTGGCGACTTAGCTTTTTTGTTTTTATTAACGAGACAAAAGTTTCGCGAGCTGTGGTTTCAGTAATATAATAATTTAATATTTCAAATATACACGAGAACAGAATTTTCGTGAGAAGACAGACAGCATAATTACGCGAAAATACAGTTTTTGAATGAAAAGTGATTTACAGTATTCTGTTAAAGTACGCACCCTTCACAGCATGTAATGCTATTCAAAGGCTCTTTCTCAGTGCAGTCAGCTACTCGAGATGTAACATAGATCCACAAGTTTTCGGGATTATCTAACCCTGTCAAACTTGTTTAAGAAGGTTTTATGATGAGTTTTATTAGAGAGCACTGTTTTCCCATAAAAATAAAGAACCTTTATAAAATTTTATCAGCTCAAATTGTAAATGTTTGGACAAAATGATGAATGATTATATGTAATGAATTGCGTACGTGTTCCTTGTATTTTCTATTAGGATATATAGCATTTTTACGTTTTTCTAAGATTTTAAATACTTATTTTCTTAAATTGTTTATATTAGAAGGTCACATATTTCTTTTTATTCATTACAAATGGGTAAACTGGAGTATGCTTAAGCACTTTTTTTTCTGAATATGATCACGTACAAACTCTGATGCCTGTCCTTGTAATATAATTTCAATACTTAAAACATAATGAATGTACGCTGCTTTGGAATCTCTTTTTATTATTTAAATCAGATCCTTCAGGAATGAATTTATTTTTAGTTTTAAATCAAATGAAGAGTTTTATTCAAGAAATAAAGAAAACTTTACAAGCGATTTAAAATTTGACTTAAGTCTAAGTCTATTTTATAATCCTGGGGACAGATAAGTCAAATTGATTAGCAAATGCCACATACAGCTGTATGTAACTTTTAATTGATTTGGGGTAATGTGGCTTAATCAAATCTACTGATTTCATAGCAATGTTTTTCTTCGCTTGAGAAAATCAGCAGTGTCTTTATGTAAGCCATGAATTCCTCTAATCTTATTCACAACGCCACGGATTGCCGATTATTTAGTGAACATGGCAAAATTTCAAAGTGCGTTAAATAGGACCAAAAAAAAAATTCTTTTCAAAGTGCATTAATATCGACAATATTGATGCACTTTGAAAAAAACAATGTGTATGGTCGATATACTTGCAAATCTTAGGTACATGTAAGATAAGTAATTGAACCTGTTGGATAACCTTTCGATGACAAGGTCACTTCTGAATGTGAAAGTGAGCGGTTTTGATTGTTCTAGATTTTGAAAATTCTTTCTCTCTTAAATGTTTTACGGTTCTTAATTTTCCCCAATTTGCATGCATTATATACGTGTAATATAAAATTTATTGAAAGTTTTCAATGTCATACCAGTTGTGCAAATACAAATATTTGGTTGGGTGTAGCATTGGCATCGGTACCGGGGGGGGGGGGGGGGGGGGGTTAGCCACGTAACAGTTTTGCAAAGATTTACATAATAAAGGCATTGAAAATTTGGGGCTTACCATCGGAGGGGGAGGGTCCATGTTCAATTTGCTACCGACGGCAATATATAAGAAAAAAAGATGACTGTGAAATATATTACTCGTCTTCTTCTTGTTCTCAATGAAGTTAAATCAATGCATGTAAATAAAAAAGTTCTTCGAAGATATAATGTTTACAAGTTAGTTTATAGATTTTTGTTTTACAGCTATATTTTTCAAAGTGCGTTTAATTTCTCCAAAATAAAAACTATTGATGTACACTCTTACCGCACTTTGAAAAAAAATTTCAAAGTGTGTAATTTTTTTCAAAGTGCGTTGCCACAGAGCACACAGCTTGTGTGACCGGTCAGCAGGGGGAGCTCACTCCTCCATGGCACCTATACCCGGCAACATTACACTTTAAACAATGCAAAATAGGAACAGAGCAAACATTGACCTCCACAACATCAGAGTTCGAATCAAGTGCCATGTAAGAGTAAGCATCCCCTGCCGATCGGTCATATCCGCCGTGTGCTCCTTGTTATGTACAACATTAAATATTATTTTCATATATACCTCATACTTGTAATTTTATTGTGAGATAAAAAATATTTGATATTTATATTTTCCATAACACATTTTCTTCATATCATGAAAAGAAGTAATATTCATTCGGAAAAAGTAACGCTCCATACTTCAAACTATATCTATTTGAATCTAATGTTATTGTTGTTGTTGAAAATCAATTTTTTGAATAAAAAAAAACGGTGAAATTTGGAGCAGATGGATATTTCACCTATTAGAATTGATTTTTAAAAGCTATCTATATGATCAATTGAGTGCATGCATTAGATCGATTTATTTAGACCCTTACATTACACTCCGACGTACTTTCGTACAATTTTACGGCAGTTTCAATTAAGGAGGATCTCTACACTTGTAAAGTATAACTGATTTTTGTTGCATGCATTTGTTTCTAATAATAGGCTCCATATCCGATCAAATAAGGTTCCAAAGTACTTCAATTTATTTTTTAGAAATATTTGAAATATTTTATTTATTTTGTTAAAATCCCTCCTATCTATATTTTTAAAAGCCCAGTGCTTTAAATTTCTCTTCAAAGTTTAGTGTTATAAAATATTGAAATAATAACCAACATAGATAAAAATAAAATCAACATAATTTTTATTTAAATTTACAAAAATAGACAAAAGAAAAACTAAAACAGCATTTTCTTGAGAATAGCTGGTTGGATCCTCTTCAATATCTGAAAAGATATATAATATCAAAGGGTAAAAACAATGAAAAAAAGAAATTGAAAAAAATTGAAAAACTGTCAAAAATTTATAAACATCACAAAAATTCAGGTGTGAGAGATCCGCTTTAAGAGTTGACTCAAATATCTTGGTACTGTTTTATTTTTATACATAAACTTCAAATAAACTCTACTTGCACAAGTATTAAACAAATGTCACGCAAGGACATTGAAAGAAGTTCGTATTGTACATGTATTGTTTTTCAATGAGTTTAAGCGAAAATCATCGCGTTTCCAGTCAATGACAAAGACATGTATTTAGTGAATTCACGGTATTGAGAAAGGTAGATTTACTTACCGTTTTTATCCAACTTGCATGTGTTATCCAGTGCTATACATAACAAAACAAGTTAAGATGGTAAATGGCCAAAAGCGGTAAAAGAAATTCCTATAACCAAATCCACACTTCATCTAAAACGTGCACGTTTCCCATACTTGTAAACAGCTGACAATCAGTGGTGATCAAACGTTTGGGTCATGCGAAATTTCACCGGGTATAACCATTCATTCGGGTGTATACAAATCGAGAACAGAGTATCCTCTAGTCGATGGGAAGATAATACATGTGTCTTATCTTATCAAATTTGCATTTTTGGGGGGAAATATTTTGCTGAAAAGCATATATATGCTTATTGGAGAAATAAATTTCTGAGCGTATGGCGTTTTGATACGTAATGATGAATTAGCATATGGACAAGCCATGTTTTATATCATTTTTTTCTCATCTAAAGTCTTATTCTAATAAGTTTATAAATGTATTATTTAATAATTAAATAAGTAGAAATTGAATAAATTGACAAACAATTCATTTTTAAAGAAAGGATACGTATTGGGCAATACACTGTATTAATTGATGTGATATAATGTACATTCCATCCACAATATCGCATGTTGTGTTATACTCAGTGATTTATCGGTGTTAAGTGAATTTGAATCTGATCTTTTGGGATCAAAACGGCGTTTTTACGGAAGTACGCCATGTTGTGACGTTGTAGAGAGCCCCCTTAAATAGGGAATATACGGAAAATATATTAATAAAAACGCGTAAAGAAGACATTGAATCGTAGTTTATGGTCTAATAAAATATCTTTTATTCATTTATAGAATGCATTTTTCTATGAGAAAATATTATTTGATTTGCCTCTCACTGCATACAAACTGCGTCATGTTTTACGAAATGACGTAACGTCGAGGTACATTGACTTGTTTATAAGTTTAAGGTAGGTAACGGGTTTACTGCATAAAAATTCTTACGAGAAAACATATCCTGAAAATTTGATATAATGTTCTTTAGAATTTAAAGCGTATCATCTGCAATTTTTATCAAATTTGCCTGAGTAGTTTTAATGTTATAGTACTGTAAACGCGGTATAGTTTTTAATCCTTTTTGACGCTTTTACCATTGAAATATACGGGAAAATGACTTTTTTAAGCCAATTTTAAAAAGGTTGGATAACTTTTTAAAGATGTAGACGAATTATTCAGGAATTTGAGATGATGTAAAATCAAAACCATTAATATAAAAAAAAATCAATATGTCTTCTCGCTAGATTTTTTGCTAAATAATTTCAAATTTTCTTTTAAAATGCTAAAATGTGGCGTTCATGGCGTTATTAATATCTACAACGTCATTTGTTGAACGTAGTCACTTTTACAGTACGAGTTTAAATATATTGACCTATGGAATATGGAAGAATTAAAAGGTGATAAGGATACAGAATTTAATTTCATTCATCATTTAATTTATTGCGGAGACATATTAGGATGACCAGCAACTTATTTTCACTAGTATTGTGAAATTCATATTCTGATCACAAAGTCAGAATGAACGGTATAAATAATCCTCGTGCAGCGACATTAACATGCAGCGACAATGTTCACCGCGAGTGAAAAAATACTAGTACCTGTATTTTTAGGAAATGCATGGTCAATAGGATTTCAGGCATAAAACAAAAATTTGATCACTTTATTTGAAAACGGTAGGAAAAACATCTCTATAATGAGAAAATAAGTGGGCGGGGAGGGAGGGGGGGGGTTACCTGCAATGTTCTTTCTTTATTAGTCGCAAGCTATAGTATACTCAGTATTGCTCAAAATCTCAAGCATTTTTTAATTTCGAGTTTTCTAAATTAAATTTCAATACGCAAAATGTAAAACACTTGCATTTAGCTTTCACACGTTGAGCTTTTGTCATAAAATTATATGGAAAAAAAATTATACTTGTAAATTGTTTACAAAGTTTTGTAAGTCTCAAAATCCAGGTGTTTGAATAAATTTGATTTTTAAATGCACTTCACAATTTATTAGCAAGCAAAACAATGCGAGTGCACGAGATTTTAATACATAACAACCAACCAATATTAATAATGATAATTAAAAAAAACCCCAGGAAAATACTTGTAATTAAATATAACTCGTTTTTAGTGATGAAGATTAATTTCCATCCTGATTTGAAGTCAAGTTCCCCTGAATTTCAACTAACGTGCGCACATACAATCCCTCAATTTTCTCGCTAAGCATTTTTTTATTCATGATAACTTTCTTTCTGCAAGCCATAACTTTTACGCTGATTTATTCTGATTGACTTTTAGCAGTTTAGTTACACTTCAAATATAATTTATTGCTTTCATTTGGTATTGTATTTAATTAGTCTTAAGACATTACATATAATCACACCAGAATTCAGACTGAAATTTAATTATAAAACATGTACGAGGTTTACGTACATAAGCATGCACTTTGTGTTAAATCTACTTTTAAATTCGTACAGACTTGAAGTCATTTGCAGAGAATAAAACGGCAAACAACGTGACGGTGCCTTTGTGACGTAACTGACGTCATAATAAAATGTGCACAAAACAACCGCTCGAATCGTCAAAATTGTGTACCAAAATTGATGACAAAAGCAAACCCGCGACCTACCTTAACTAACGACAAACAGCAAGCTGTTTTTAGTTTTGATATACTTTGATAGTTTCCTATAGGTTTTACTAGCAAATCACCCCATATTGTGGTACTAATAAGAACTGCAGATTTTGTATGATGTCATACTTAAGTTTTTCCATACAAATTAGGTTCCGCCCTCTTTCTGTAGCCTTAAGGTAGAACCTATGTCGGAGAAGTCTTTGTCACAAGATTTTCAAACTTTTCATAATGATAAATTAGCACTTGCTTATCAATCAGTAAAAAGCACATGACATGTTTCCTTGTTATTAAATGTGGTGCAGCCAGTTAAACATGGAATGATAAATACATACTTCGACTTCACAATTTCAGTCATTTTAGGGGTACTTGTCATGCAAAGAAGACAACAAAATCCCAGAATTGCTTCTTTAAACATCGTTGTTTTTATTATTTATTAACTGAACAGTATTAAACAATATTTCCCGAGAATAAAATTCTTTTTTATTCAATTGACATAAAAGATAAGTCCACATTTTCAACACTATAGGCAAATGAACTCTATTTATTTTCAGTCAATTTTCCGACCTACACACTGAAAATTTAAGTTAGTCACCATGACCTAAAAAAATAATCAGATTGATTGTCCTCCAGATGAGGGTGCAGTTAGTCAATTAGACAATATGTTGAGCTCATTTTGACGACCCGAGAAAATTCATACTGACTAAATCGATAGTCTACCTTGACTAATTAAAAGTCACCATGAGTACACTTTAACGATTTTATTTGACTGTATTCTTGTCATAATGATAGATTCCGATATTCAAAATGATTATCATTTCATATCAAAATGACTGTCAATTAGTTTTATTTCTAGGCATTTTGACGATATTGGAGATCATATTGACGATGCGCGTCAAATCATTTTAATTATCACGCATCAATGCCCTTCAGATACAAAATATAACAATTATACAACTAATGTTTGAACTATTTATTATAAAATTTCATAAATATGGTTATTTCATGCACCAAATATACACAAATAATAAACTGATCATCTTTAAAAAACATCAGATTTGCATATAAACATTGTAAAATTTTAAAAGAGATCATATACACCTACATACATAGCATACATAGATATTTATATATTTTCAAGCAAATTAGTTTTACTGTTTGTAAATGATTTCTAATCAATCAAATAAATAACTTCAGGTAACAGTCTCTCGTTGCACCTTTTCAGTTGTTGCTTTGTTTTCCTACCTCAGAGGAATATATTTACTGGTTGTTTTCTTCTTTGATCATTACAAATTCTTTTTCACAGGTCCTGCAACGAAGAATAGTCTTTATAATTTACTTATTTAAGTTGCTTGATAGCAAAAGTAAAGTATATGAAAACAAATTTATTTATATTGAAAGGAAATCAAGATATAAATTTAATTTAATACTACATGTAGTAGCTATATATGCAGTATTAAGAAGAAAATAATGAGTACCTTTAGTCGTTTAATACATACAATTAGAATGAATAAAAAATTACGTTTACCTTAGCAAATATAGCACATGGGAATGAAATCATCATCAGTTCTGTTTTCTTCTTGTTTGGCTGTTTTCGTCAGAAATGGATTAACTACAAACCATATTGTGATTTTTTTCAATGCCTTTATCATATACATGTATTATAAACAAAATACATGGAATAATATAGTAAGTGGAGAGTTAGTACATGTACATGGGACTAGTCCGTAGTTATCGATTTGTATTTTCTTTTATAAAATAGAATGTTAAATAATAACAAGTTCTATGGAAATCACCATTATACTGAAAATATAAGCTATCAGTACGTGTAATCCTACCTTATTTATTCTATTCATGGTAACATCTTCGTGTACCTAATGTGGTTTTCATCTTGTCTATATTCGTAACAATGCATTGTATTTTGATTTGTTTGTCCATTCAGTGGTAGTTGAGAGTCCATGCCACACTGTGAGTTGTAAAAGAATAATACCTATTTAATAATCGTTGAATTTTAGACCAAGTTCGATTTGAACTGTTTGCATAAATTGAAAATGCAAAAATCTGCTTGAACACAATCAACCCACATCCTAACCTACATGTATCATGATAATGTAAAATACAACAATTATTGATGAAGAATATCGTTTACCTTGTTAATAACAATACTATTTCTCTGTAGAACAATTTTTGGAATAAGTTTTTTTATAGAATTATTTGTCTAAAACATGAAAACAACAAAACATGACATACCCTGACTTCGAGTTTTCCAGGGAAAAAATGGCGACCGACGCTATTGTTTCTTCCCGCCAATAAATATAAACAAAATGACCAGTCACAAGTCAAAGTTGACCAGAGACTGGTAATGTTGAGGAAACAGATAGTCAAATTATATATTGACTAACTGAACGGAAGAAAATGACTTCAAATCTGGTCAACGTGACAAATTTTTGTTTTCAGTGCATTTGTAAATATATATCAGAAGTCTTTGTCACAATGTTTTCAATCTTTAATATAATAAAGAACATACCCAAATGATTACAAAAAGTGATTAAAATATATACCTTTCCCCTCTAACGAATGAGAGATAGGTTATTTACCGATACTAATATTCTTGACCTTTTTGCACTTACACGCATTTTGTTATTAAATGACTGTTCGGGGCTAATTTCAGCTTCAAAATGTTTATAAAAAATTGTACTTTTAATTTAAAAGCTCATATTTAATATAGAAATTGTAATAAAACCCCATGAATATGAATAATTAACAAATAATTATGAAATGGAATGCACATCATTTCATGATAGATATAACAAAATGTACACACAATCTACAACACGTACATCTTTGACTTAGACACATTTCATCAAGATATTACATTCTTTACCGGTAGTTGGCAACTGACGATTTTTTAAAAAGATTTTTGCATTCCTTCAAAATAGTTACATACCATTTATATTATTACAGGTTGTTGTATACATGGCAATTTCATCGCACAATATAGTCTTGAATTTGTCAACTTAATTAAGGTCAAGATCTATTAAATGAAAGGTGCCTACAGGTTTCTCTAATTCAAGAGATATATTGTCATTAAGCATTATATTAAAAATATTTATATAAATCGAATATTAAGATTATTTTGGCATGATTTTAAATTGAATTCTGTGAATTTCAAAATGCAGTTTTTTTCTACCATTTCTATACTGAAGCTGAAAAGTACGGGAAATGACATTGAATTAATTATGACGTCATAATGCATCTAGCACAGGCTAAACACATTCACTAGTTATGATGTCATACGACGTAGGTTCTACGTTAACTGTATTGCGTTCGTCGTTTATATATGTTAACCCTTTCGACGCCGAATAACGTTACGACTATTACGTCAAGGATGCCGTACTATGACGTCAACTAAAACGTAAAATACGAGGGTTGATCCAAAAGTTCGTGGAATTTCTTCATATTTTATTTATTTTTAAGTGGAATTGGTTGAAAATTACAAATGAATATATAGACACTTGATGAATTTTTTAAATTTAAAAACTTTTTAAATATCTCTGATAGTAACTTTATGGCAGTTGCCATAGAAACGGTTGTTTGGAAATGCGGGGGAGACATTAACGCGTTTATTATCATTTTAATTCTTAATGCGTGAAATAAGAATTAAACCACCTTATGTGGTATATAATACAAAATTCTGTCATTATTACGATTGCTTGATCTTTTATAAACCTTTGTGTGAGAGTTTTACTGATTTTACTGGATATTTAGTTTATAAATTAATGATTTATTATTCATCTTTAAGTTGTTAGAAAACGTCAAATTTCGGACAATTCACGTTTTGTGAAAATCTCGGGATTACTCTATTTTAAACGCGTATATTATTGACATAGGCTTGGGAAAAATGCATTTAGTTACTGGTTTTCCAATGGCATAAGAAATTAAAGGAAAATAGAACTTCCGTGGACGTTGATAAAAGGTGTGGTCACTTTTTATACGCGAGTGTTTAAGTACATATTCCCCTAGACAAATTAAAAGCGTTAATGAACGTTGTCGTCTGCCCTACTGTTCTTGACAATGCTACTGAAATTGGAACATCATATGGAAAAATGGGTAGTATTTTGAAATATGAGTAAAAAATGAAGATAAGTTGGTGCGAGGGATACCCAGGCTTTTCTTGAGAAAAAAAAATGGAGAAAAGGGCAGCATTTTGTAGAATTACGTATTCAAATTGGGCATTTGGGCGAGATGCTTCTATAACGTGACGTGACATATCTAACTTGACGTTACGTCGAAGTCTCCCCCGGGTTTCCCAACTATCCATTTTTAGAAAGCTCGTGTGACCTTATTGGTCATTGGAATGCAGTGAAAATTTCCAATATTGTTGCATTATGACTCTATATTATGAATATGCCTGTTCATTGATTTTATCAAATCACGATAAAATTTTAGAAAGAAATTCCACGAACTTTTGGATCAACCCTCGTAGTTGCGTCAGAAAAAAGCGTCAAATTGATAATGAAAAAGCACCTGTTTAACCAAGGTAAAAGGATGTAAGGAAAATGCTTATAAAAGAATCATATTTATTCCAATAATTTTAATATCAGTACAATAAAGTAAGCAAAGATTAATTCTATAGCTAGCAAATTGCAAGGAAATACTTTAGATAGAACAAAAGAGACCCAAACTCTTTTTTTAAAATAATATTTATACTAAATGTTATTAATCTATATAACTGCCGTATACGAGAAAACGGACCCTTATATAACCTGGTACTTTCTTAATAATAACTTAATTAATTTTAGATATATAATTTATCTCATTTTTCCTGTAGTTGTAATTTGTCGTTGCGGGTCTCGAACTCAGTACGTTTTTAGATATTACCAACATCTTTATTGTGTAGATACAATGCCTCCCCTCAAATATCATGAAAAAAGAGAGAAGTCCAGTACGAAAATTAGGGCACCGCGGGCCATCCCCTCGCAAAAAAATTCGATCCCGATATAATATAATAAATATTACTTTCATTTAAATGAAGTCATGGTGTATAAAATTGGTTCTTCGGGGTTAAATCATAAATAATAAAATCTTTTCTAATTACCACGCGAAAAAACATAAAACACCAGACTCATTTACATAATGAAGTATTGTTTTGAGAAAGTTTATTCCAGACTTAAAAACAGATCTTAACTTCCCGTCAGGAACTGCTGTTTGTCAACAAGGTTTTTAGTCTATGTTTTCCATGTAAGGATTGTTGTAATAAACTATTAAATCAATCTTATAATTAATTTTTATATATTATCTTTGTAATGACATATTTTTATTGTTTAAGATAAAATGTGCCTGTTTCGGATGAAGCGGCTTTAAATTATATTTATATTGATTGGGGTTTTTTTTATCGAGTAAATCAGACTGTATCAAAAGCAGTAATCATGAGTAATGATATTAATGCTGATGAACTGAGGAATAATAGACATTTGTGTCATTTTTTTTTTTTTTGGGGGGGGGGGTAACACTTGGACACAACAATCGAACATCATCTCAGAAACATTATAGAAATTGGTTTCTGTTATATAGATTCCAAATGTCGGAATGACTTGGACATTCGCGATCATATTCCCAAATACAAATTCTCACCTGCTTGACAGAAAAATATAGCCGAGAGTCACATGTCATGCTTTAGCATATGAGCTCAACTTCTAATCTTACGAAAAATTAAATTGTATCGTTATGCATGGTTTGAAATAATGAACTTTCTAAATTCCTGAAATTGATGAAAACTCGTCAGATTAATCAATAGTATGTCTATTTAACGATCGTCTGGATTCAAACCCAGATTTATGAAAAGTTCTTAAAAAATGTATAGTTTGATCAATGATAGGTGAATTGCAGTTATTTGACGAACTCTACATGTAATGTACATGTATTTGATTAAGGAAGCACCGTCTGGTTAGTATAATGATGCCAGAGCATCAATAATAATTGATGTCCCTGGCATACTATACTACCTAGACAGTGATTCCTTGTACTAGTATTTCCACTTCATTGTGAAATAGAATTGTAGCTTTACATTTTAAAAATGTAGACATGGATTTAAATCAGATGAGGACTCCCATGCCAATATCAAAAGTCCTCGCCCACTGACGTCAAATACAAAGACAGCCGCACGAGATTTCCATGCATATTTGGCCAACTTAGCTATTGACCTGCCTAATTTACATTCCAGTAGAATTATCAAAAAATCAACTCCACTTACTTTCAAAGAGTTATCACAGAGAAAAAAAATTAGAAATGGAAATGTAATGGCATGAGCATACCTGCAATCGCGGCCTTTCATACTCAGTTAAATTGTGTTGAAATGTAATAATAATATATGTCTAAAGCAATAATTAAATAATTCTTATAGCATTAGTGTTAATAATTTTTTTTGTATGAGGGCATGCAGATAGGTATATCCTTTTATACTACGGCTCTAATTGGACTCTTTTTAAAGGCATCTCAACCATTTTGTTAAAACAATGTTACACTTTCTCGGAATCTCGAAGTTACAGAACATGACTTGTAATATTGCATGTTAGGCATTTTTCCTTTTGTTTGTTTAGCGTCCACACTAAAGTGAAAAAAAATCTATCTGAATAAAAAACACAGAGTGAATTAAATGGAAAAGCACAACATGAAGAATTTCTAATCATCTGGGATTATACAATGTATCAAATATAAACTACTAGTTTAGCGAAATTAAAATTTTTAGCATACACAAAAAGGGGTGCCGATCTCAAAGAGTAAACTGTGTGGAAAACCTTTGAACATGTATTTGTACATTTTCTAGTTTCATAGTGTGTTTGTTTTCAAATATACCTAAAACTAATTCCGAGTCGTCCGCTAACGCTAAACATAGACATTTTTTGCAACCAGATGGAAATTGCAGAAAACCTTAAGGCTCATAAACTCTCTGCTCACTTATATAAAACGTTGCTTTAACCTTAATGATTTTCCGAAAAAAGTTCATAAAGGAATATATGTAATAGACATTTACGTCATTAAGAGTTATCTCTCTTATCAGAGTATCGATGTACCTTAAGACATAGCCGGGGTGTTGGGTGAACAGAGTTAAAACTCGTCATCCATGATTTCAATGTTAAAGTGGCAATTTATTATTATTACATGTTGATTTAACATGAATTGAATAGAAGGGCCACCTTTCAACTAATGCTTGATAGTCCTCTCCCGACTCAGGGTAAAATAAATGGGTCGGTAGGTAGTTGGGATTTTTTTCTTAAAAACTTTAAGATATGTGTTATCGGGATAAGACCCAACAAATCTTGTCCTGGAATACTAAAACAAAGTTTTGAGTCGGGACATTTTTAGTTCATCTTTGGAGATGGCCTCTGGTTGCTTTTATTTATCATTTTTCCAATAATGTATAGGGTCTACCTTATTATTTTTTTTTTTAAGACGCCCAAAAATCTTT